CAAAAATTTATTTTTGGTTCGATTATCCAGAACGAATTGTTGGAAAACGTTTTCCGACTGATTACGCAATGGAAATATGTATACGTATAAGAGAGTTATCATAAAAATTTATTATATTTTTTATCCTTAAAGCCGTTATAAGTTAGGTGTTCCGGATTGTTGAAAAAATTCACTTTGAATCTCTTTTTTTGCTCGTGAAATGGAATTACTCGAGTTTACGCATAGCGATGATGGAACGATTCATTTTATCATCTTATATACTAATTGTCTCCATGATATTTTATTACCGCCATTTGTTAATTTTATCCTTCCAAAGACAACGACAAACGCTTTTATTATTTTTAGGATTAACCTTCAATCCGCCTTGCAAAGTCTTTTCGATAAGAAAAAGATTAAGCGTCCTATAAATGGCGAAGTATCGAGATTCGCGAAACTATTATGGCAACCACTTAATGAGGAATACAAAAAGAACATGAAACTTTACATTAACGATTATTACCAAAATCTTCCCAAGCATCCTCCTCGTATAATCCATTATCAGCTTCAGATCTGTAAAGAAAGAAACAAGAAACGAAATAATATGCATGACCCTCCGAGAGAATACACTCAAAATAAGGAAGTTCATAAGAAAGATTCTTTCAAGGACCCCTTCGCATATTCTGCCATACATGACATGGGTAATCCTTCGCGAGAATACACTCAAAGTGAGGAAGTTCCTAAAGGAGATTTTTTCGAGTACTCCGTGTATTCCTTCATGCATAACATGCATAGTCCTCCGAGAGAATACACTCAAAATGAGGAAGTTCCTAAAGGAGATTCTTTCGAGGACTCCGTGTATTCCTTCATGCATAACATGCATAGTCCTCCGAGAGAATACACTCAAAGTGAGATTCCTGAAGATTCTTTCGAGAATTTTTCCGCTATGCTTAGTACGAATGATTTTTCGCGAGAATATATATTCCATTCAGAATGAGAAAGTTCTTAAAGAGAATCTTCAGGGATTTTATTCGTGCACATATTTTGCTCGACGTGAATTAAAATATAGATTATTCGAGATTACGTATAGGGATACCCTAAAAATTCTTTCCTACTTGTATGCATAGGTACTGTATATCTTGTATAATAAAAGTTAAAAAAGAAAAACGAAAAAAGTGATGTACAATTTTTATTAATATAACAACACAAAATTTTAAATAAATGTTGAATTAAAGTGTCAAAGCTTTAAAATTGAATAATAAAGCAAAATATTCAAATAATTATACTGTACTTACTGTATATTATGTGTTTACAATCATCTGTGTATTAGAAATGGCACGTGGCCCATCAGATATCAGGAGTTAGTGCGTGGCACCTTAGCGTGGGTCACTGAGAGGTTATGACATAACAGTTTGGGTAAATCACCTTGAATGTGCCAACGGAGTTCTCTGCACCATTGTGACCATTGCGTGAACCATCAGAGCATCAAAGGTGCATGTGTGAGTCACTTTGGATCAATATTAATTATGGTAGGAGAAACAAATGCGTCACGCCTTCGCGTGGAGTGATGCGTTGTGATAAGAGTTATGATAGATTAAATACATAAGAGAGCATGGACCATTGAAAATGGATAAGGTTTAACGCGTGAACATCCATGTGTAAATTTACAGAAGTTTTTTACACAATTCTCTGACATGCCTTCGCGAAAGCATATGTCTGTAAAGTAATATATTGGAATTGAGTGGAGAGGAGAGGGTAGCGCGGGAAACTACCCTCATATCGTTTATTCATGTATTACAGGAATCCGGGTGAGAAAATTGAAGAATTTAAAATTTTAATAAAGTAAATACAGTATACAGTACATACACTCATCTGCCAAAAGTATCCGACCACATGTTGATATCATGATTTTTAAAATTCAAAGTTGATTTTGGTTTTATTATTACTAAAAAATTTACTAAATAATTTTTAATAAAATTTATACTAATGTGTTCATAAAAGTTTGAATTTTTATTAATACCATTAATATTTTGTTAGATTTTAATTACTATCTATTACAGCCTGAATTCTTCTTGGTATACTTTTTACTAAATTTTCTAATTCAATTTGATTTTATTATTCTTCTAAAATAATCATTAATTCTGCAAGATTTTTTTGATGTTTATTTTTCTAAAATATCTCATAAATGCTCAATTGGATTAAGATCTGGTGATTGTGCAGATCTTGTTATCAAATTATTTTCTAATCAATAGTTTAATATTTTTGCCTAATTAATTAAAACATTATCATTTTGAAAAACATATTTTAAATTATTATTTAATTTATCAATAAAAGATAAAATATTATTTTTTAAAACTTCAATATATATAGATTTTATAATTTTACTAGAAACTTGAATCAAAGATTTAATCTTATTTTTTGTAAAACATCCTCATATTATTATACATTGATTTCTTGATTTTACTGTTAGAATTAAATAATTTATATTATATTTTCATGTGGACATCACCAAGCCCAATGATGTGAGTTATTTTGAAAAAATAAAAAAAGAAATTTATTATTCCAGATTACTGTATTCTATTCTAAATCCCAATTTTTTTAGAATAAATTATTTTAATTTTTTTTTGCAATTTTCTTCAAATACTAAAGGTTTTTTTTTTCTAATTCAACCATATAATTCTTCATTATGTAAAATATGTTAAATAGTATGAAAACTTATTGAGATTGTTAATTATTGACTAAATTTTTTTGTTATTTCATTCAAAAATTGTTGTCAATATTCTTTTACAATTTTTATAAGATATTTAATATCTCTTTTTATCAATTTATATGGTTTATCAGATCTAAAAACAACACTAGTTTATTAATTTGTCTTATATTTTTCAATAATATTATGAATAATTATTTTTAAATAATTAAGAATATTTTTAATATTGCACTCACTTTGACCACCTTTCCACAGGTCATTAATTTTGTTATGTTTAATATCAGTGAGTTTGTGAGTTTTAAACATTAATTTTTTTTTATTTTGAATAAAAAAAGTTTGTACTATGTAAAAAAAATAAATTTTGGTATATTTTTATATATTAAATTTAAAATTATTTATAAATAAAGTTTGGTACTCAGAGTAGTGATCTTCATATAGTTAGATACTTTTGTCAGATAAGTGTATATACTATACATATAATATATTTATTTGTTTGATAAAGTTATCGATATAACATAAAAAAAATATTTTCTAATTATTTATTTTATATTATAATATCAATTCCACATGTTTTAATTTTTTTAAACACAAAAAATTAATACACCATATATATTGCATATTTGATATTAAAATTATATATACAGTATATTTCTACAATAGACTATTGGTAAGTCAGTATACAAAAAACTTCAATCAAAATGAATTATAAAAAGTAATTTATTCAGCCTTTCATTATAATTGGTAAAAATTTTATTATTATTTTTATGTAATTAATAAAACAAGTTTTTATATTATTTTTCTTCTATAATTTAACTTTATTCTTAATTTATTTTTTGATATTAGAACTAATTTTAATTTGTTAATACTATATACAATACCTCTGAATACAAGCTAATGTGATAATACAAAAGGCTAATAATATTGACAAGCAAAGAATAATAACTAGTATTAATAAATTATAGATAAAAATAAAGTTGAATAAATACATAACTATAATTTTAATAACTACAATAATATCTAAGGAATATTTCAAAAAATTTAATATATGATTATTAAGAGATCTTTAATAATACATTATTGGAGATTGAAGTTTAAAAAAACACATATCTTATAAAACTTGAGTGCAAGATTATTCAAACTTTAATATTAATCATCACAATAATAATAGAATACAGACTTGACTCTAATATTCTTATCAAATTATTTATAAAACAATAGTATAGACTATTATAATAGCATTAATATTTAATGGAACTATTAAATTGTACTTTAATAAATAAATATATTAGTTTATTATTATTATCATTTTTTTAATTCACAGTCAGGATAATATAGCTTGTTTTTATTTTATAAATTATTTTTATTATTATTATTTATAGATTGATTTGACTTTCATATATTAACTTATTTATTACTAAAAACTATTTATTTAAATATAATTTAAGAAATAATATTTTATTTCTTAATCAGTAAACTCACTTTCTACAAGTTATTACTATAGATATAATTATTTTAAATTATTTAATAAAATAATTTTAAAATTACTTTTAGTTGATTCTTTTTTTTATAAAAAAAAAAATTTTTTTTTTGATAATTTTCTTGAAAAAGTGATTCAAAAAACAAGAACATCTTGTTCTAACAAACTTCTACACTTAAAAAAATTTATTAATTAACTCAAAAAAATTATTAAAAAAAGTATGACTTTAATACTGACTTTTATTTTATTTTATTTTTTTTTTTGTATACTTGTAGCCAGGCTAGATTATGAGTTTATTAATCAATTGAAAACATAAGTACATTTTCATTCGAGTAGCATAATACATATTATAGCTAAACTACTATTCTAATCTAACTAACTCATCATAAGCTTAATAACCTCTAAGCTTGACCTTGGAAACAATATTTCACTCTGCAGTATCTTTGGATAAAGAATCTCCTAGTTCACTGCATTATTACTAGCAGGTTGTTACTGCCATATGTTTAACCAAGCCACTGGAATACAGAAAATTACAAAAGGATAGATTGAAAAAAGGGTGGAAATATCTAAAAATGTTTAAATAAACAACAAGAAAATGAAAAAGTAAAAATTGAAAAAAAAAATTTTCAGCTTTCTTCAAAGACTTGCTTCTCAAGACCTCTTCTTAATAAGAAATATCCAATTGGAATATCCTTTCTTTTTCTAACCATCTAAGGAACTTATCCATTCTTGATCTTGATTTTCTTCTCATGTACTATCTAAGGAGATCTATTGCCTAGTGAGAGCCTTTACTTTCAGGACACATTTTGTCCCAACCTTCTTTGGACAATAATTATTTATTTACCTGCAGTAGATGGGTGACTTATGGTGAACCTCAGGTTCTTATATGGTCTAGTAAAAATTGGGTCATATTGTTTTAATATGATACTTTTCAGCAGCCACACCTAATTAAAAAATTTTACTGGTGTATATCTTCCATTACCCAAAATAGTTATTTTTCAAAGATCTTTTTACTTCACAATGGTGAGAGTGTATTAAAAAAGTAGTGGAATTCTCATCGATTGTGATATCCTTCAACAACTTCTGAGGAAATGCATTCTCAACTATAATCAAAGGATTGAAGCTTAGCATGGACTAGAGACTGTTCAGTCTTATTGCCTGACTGGAATAAAATGGAGACCTTAATCTTAAATTTTGCCTGACTGGAATAAAATGGAGACCTTAATCTTAAATTTTGCCTGACTAGAATGATAAAAGTAAAAGATCTCAGCTTGAACAAATATTTGCTTTTTCATCACCTGGGGATTTGCTACTTATATCTTATTGGTTTTATTATACTTGATCTGTAGGTTAATCCAATTGAAGGAGTGGGGTGGATATGGGGCACCAATTAACTCTTTCTATCACCAATAATATCACCAGAACATATGAGATAACCAATAGATACTTGTTAATATTTAGTTATTAACATGTTTTATGTCAACCAATCAGATACCAAGTGATATTGTGCTATCATAAATTCAAGGTCAAACTGAAATAGGCAAAATCCATCAAGAATACTGTGAAAAACAGTAAACACTTTAAGAGAGTATAAGACAGTATGTGAGAAGGTGAATAATAAGCCTTCTCTTGCAAACAGAACCTTTATTTCTTGTCATTTCTAGCTCTGTAAGGTAATACTTCACTTGTCAGTCCTTTTACTTCCTAGAATCTTCTTGCCCTTGGTAGAGAAAGTATATGCTTGAGTCTTTTCAAGCCATTAGAGACTCAAATTTTTGTTTAAAGGAGTTTATAAACAAGTATAGTAAGAGAG